AGCAAGCACCTGGACGCAATCGCAGATGAGCTGCAGTTCGACATGACAGACCTTGAAACGGCTACAATGGATCTAAAGATCAGCTCGGTTCGCAGCCTGGCGTTAGACTTCAAGCAGCCCTCGGCCGACTACCTGGACTTCCGGAACCGCCTGATCCAGAACTCGGTCTGCTTGGAAAACTGCTCCCTGCAGGAGCGCTCGCTCACGGGCACCATCAAGGTCAGGAACATCGGGTTTGAGAAGACAGTTGCGGTGCGCGTCACCTACGACTCGTGGGTCAGCTTCACCGACATCGACTGCACCTTCATGAACAACGTGTACAGCTCCCAGGACAACGACACCTTCGCATTCGTCCTGGAGCTGCCCTGCTTCATCCCGCCGCATAATCGGGTGGAGTTCTGCATCTGCTTCAAAACCCAGGGTCAGACCTTCTGGGACAATAATGACGGCAAGAATTATGCGCTCAAGCACATCGGCTGGAACGGAGAGGACCTGAACACTCGGCCCTCCCTCGGTTCTGCTGAGCAGAAAAAGCCCCCAGAGCAGAAAAATGAGGGGGTCAAGTTAGTGGAGCTGGAGTTCGATCAGTTCGGCAGCCCACGCATGTCCAGCGGACTGTTTCCCGGCTGGCAGAGCTGGGGTCAGATCGATAACACCGTGCCTTATTGGTGAAACCTGCAGCATGTTTGCTGAACTGGCATTAAGCAGAAGAAGACAAACAGACATTGACAGGGCGTTCAGTACGAACCAGCTGTGGTTGACTCGCAGCCAGAGACTAAACTGAATCATGTTCTCAACTGACCTGGTTTTTGCTGTAACGATTGAGGACAATGATGAATGATTGATGAAATATGGGTGGAGAACGACGAATATTTCGGGTTTCCTGTTGTAAAATATTCATGTGCCTTCTCATTGTGCCTGCCCACTAAAATACACATTATTTGTACAAGCCAAGATAAATGGGGAGCCCCCTTTGGAGGGCCTGACGGATTGGGTAACATAAGCACTGATTGAGATGTCCCTAATAATGTGATATCTGTAAATGGAGCTGATCCAGTCCTTCATATTGAAGGGGGAGCGCATGGCGCAACTATGCTTCTCTACTACAGAAAACACAGTTGATTCGTTGCTAATGAAAAATGCACACTAAACTAAACGTTTGGACATTAAAAATGGCTAAACTGTAATATTTAAGTCATGCCCTTTTCTTTCCCTCCGTGTAAATTGCACATATTTGTCTGCTAAAGCGTTTGAGTGGTAATATGATGGAAGTGAGCTGCTATTGTGTGTCAAGAAAGGTCGCTGCATGTGAGTGGTTGCTTCGAACTGGGAAGAAGTTTGGAAACGTCTGTGGTTCTGGTATGTTAAGAAAGAGATGATGTAAGAGCGAATGTTTGCTTTTAGAAGTGCAATTCTCGAAGATGAGTGTACAGTACGTGTGGCTGGAAGCAAGAATTTTCTGTTTCGAAACAGCTTATGTGTTTTCTTCGCTGAAGAAAGCTCTGTGCCCGGCATTCTGTGTATCACTTGAAGGCGTGCGCCGCCGACGCGCGCCACGTCGTTATGTATTTCCTTTATGAAATAAATTTCTATATTTGTGCTAAAATGTTACGAGTCCAGACCTGTCTTTGAAACAAAGCTGGTAGCTTTTACACGTGTTGGGGGGAAAACATAACCCCAGTAGCTTCTCTCTGGTTTCGTTTACAGTCAGTCTTTCATGCAATTACACTGAAGACTCCTAAAAACAAGGTTTACATGCCAACAAGTATAAAAGTGAGCAGCATGCACCACAGGAATTCAAACCCTCAACTCATAAAGATGATTAATGGGCTGGTTTTAAATATCTCATAAATATTTTTAATAGTTTATTCTTTCAATTACATAACTGATGTTTGTAAACACAGCAGAGAAACAAGCTTGTGTTTACAAACATTTGAGATGAATAATTTATGCGTGCCTATACCGGGAGTGGGCGGGGCTTTTATTCAAAACAAGAAGGGAAAGTACGGCAAGACTATTATATGCAACATAGTAAATAGTTATGCTGATTTTCTTCTATAGTTTTACTTTAAAAATCCGTCTCTGTCACATCAGATGGATTTAACACAGGTCTGAATGTCACTGGTATCATGTCACCTGTATACACTAAAAATCTTCCCATAGAGACAGTTTAATCACAGTGACCGGTCAGTCCTCACTGATCTACATAAAGCATTCGTGCATGCATTATGTCACACGTGCAAGGTTCAGTTTCAGATAACAGCTTCCTTAATTTGCTCAGCTGCGTTCAGGACGTGTGACAGATTTCAGATGCGTTTCTTGCACATTCGG